AGCCCAAACTGGGGGAGCTCTGGTGGCTTTCCCTCCCCATGTGGTGCCCCGACAGTGACGTGGGCCACGTCGGCTCCCACGGCCCCTTCCTCCCCCTCGCAGGCAGAGGAGCCAAAAAAAAAAACAAAACAAAAAAAAAAGAAAACCAAAGGAAAAAAAAAAAAACTAATTAAGGCTACAAAGGGAAAAGCAGCATTTTGCAGGGTTGAAAACCTCCGCTCCGGAGCGGGGGCCGAGGCGATTAATTAGAGCTTTTGTCTGCGACTCCCTTCGACATGTTGGGAACAATTTCCATCAAGGGGACCTTCCTGGGGCTGGAGGAGCTTTGCTCGGGGAGCGTGAGAGGCCGGAGGGAGGGGAAAGGGAGGAAAAAAGGGGAAGGGAATGAAAAGAGGGGAGGAAAAAAAACCCATTTACCACGTTCCACGGGCGGCGTGGAGGAGGAAGGGGAGCCGCTGCATACTTGAGGCACCGCATTGCAGAGGGTGTTTTTATTCAGCGCATCATCCGCCGTTTCTCGTTCCCCTTCCAGCTAAATTTGGCCCCTGAGATGCTCGGGTGGGGGGCTTTATTTTTGGGGTGGAGGTGGATGGTGTCTAAGCTTCACGCAGAGATGCTGGCGTGACGGGGCGACGACTTGGGGACACGGCGCTGCTGCTTCCCCTGGATCCCACATCCCCCCCCCGTGTTGGGGTCCACGGTCCTGGTGAGGCCGTGGGGCAGGAGATGCCGAAGGATGGGAGTGGGATGCTCCCAGGAGGTTGTCACCCCGATGTCCCCCACGGGCAACCGCCAAAATTCCATGTCTCTCTCCCCCCAAAACACTTCTCAGATGCTTTTTTTAATTTTAATAAGCACTTTTTTTTTCTCTCTTTGGATGCCCCCCCAGCCCATCCCCGCAGCGTCCCACCTTCTGAACTGCCCAGGGAGGGTAAAAAAAATCCACATTTTTCTTTTTTTTTCGAAGCCAAACGCTCTCCGGGGCCGGAGCTCGGCTCAGCCCGGGAGGTGGCAGCACACGACCGTGCTCGGTGCCAGCCGGGCTTGTCCCCCCCCTTCCTGGGGTCCCCCAGCCCCCCCTTGTCCCGGTTTGAGCTCCCTACTGGTCCCAGGTCACCGGGGGAAGCGATAACTGGGTGGAAGCCACCGGGTTTGGGTGGGATTTGGGGACGGGTGGTGCGGGGGTGGCATCCTGTGGGAAGTGGGTTTGTACCCACCAAAAATATCTCACACAGCTCCTGAGCCCCCCCCCCATCTCAAACCCCAGCTAAAATTCCCCCTCTGTCGGGGGGCAGGTGTGTTCCCAGTTGGCTCCGATGGGATAAAAACTGGGATGAGTAAAGGAATGACCCCCTATGTGTCCCCTGGTTGGTGGCACCCCACAAGCAGGATCTTAAACCCCTGTGTCCCCTCTGCCACCGGTCCCATCCCCCTCATTGGGTTATGCATCATCTGCAGAAGGTACCGGGGGTGGGAAGGGGGGCAAAATGGGAGCTGCCCCTTCTTCTCCCACCCATCCCGGGGCAGAACCAGGCCCTGGCACGTCTTGAAGAACACCATCTGCCACTACTTCCTCCATGAAGCCCATCCCATCCACCAAGTCACCGCTTCCCTCACCCCCAGGAGCACCCCTGTCCTTCCCGGAGCCTTGTACAATCCCTCTCCTCCAGTCTCAGGGTGAGGGTGGGGGGTGTGTGGGGGG